GGCTGTTACCAGGGGCTGTGGAAGCAATTGGGTGGCAGCGTACGTGCCCGACTGCTTCCACCTGACAGGGAGAAGTCTGCCTGCCAGTATTATAAACTCAGTTTGTGTGCAAACCCCCCTTTGTCAGGTCTGTACAACGTACAAACCTGGCAGCAAAAGGGGTTAAGTGGTGTTAAACCCAAAAACATAAATAGAATATATTACAGTTTACTAAATGTGGTGACTGCATTTATTTATTTTTTTTAGATTAAAAGTTTTTATTTTTATTAGTTTTTATTTTTATTAGTTTTTTATTGTTTTATTATTTTTATTAGTTTTTATTTATCAGTTTTTGATTTTTATTATTATTTTTATTATTTTTAATTTTGTATTATTTTTATTAGTTTTTTTTATTAGTTTTGATTTTTATTATTATTTTTATTAGTTTTTATTATTTTTTATTATTATTATTATTATTATTTTAGTTTTTTTTCATCTAATGGTTGGCCAGTAACCCATTTCCTGTCTAAGGCTACGTTCACGCTAGCTTTGTTAGCAGGCATTATGCAGGCGTTTGAGGGGCCTCAAACGCCTATGAAAATTCTACACATGGCAGCACACAGTGCTGTTCACAATGAAGCATTAGCGTCGCGGCAAAATTGATGCCTCATGTTGAGTCAGGAGGAGTTGAAGCCTCCCATTCAAGTCTATGGTGATGCTCCTCAAATGCCTGGAAGGCATTTGCGGGGCGTTAATACCATTAACTTCATCATAGGCGTTTGTGTTGCGGTTTTAACGCTTGGAAAACGCTGCAAAAACGCACATAGGGCGTTTGGGGAGCATTTGAGGAGCATTGAAAATGCTTCCCAAAACGCCTGTCTAATGCTATAGGGGTGTTTGGGAAGAGTTAGAAATGAATCAAGTGTGAATGAGCCCTTATGCAGGCCATAGATGGGCCGTTTATCGGCAGAATTGTCGTCCGATAAACAAAAAGTTGGTTGGCGCCGTTGACCGATAAAAGTAAACGAGACAATCCACGAAAAATGGCCGATGGGCGGGCCCCAATAATGGCGTGAATATCAGCCGATTCTTTGTGCGGACAAAAAATCGGCCGATAAACGACCCCTCTCTGGCCAGCATTAGGGTGTCTCCACTTTGGGTGGAGGAGCAATGGAGACACCCTTGAACAGCTGCATTGCCAGTCAGGGGGGGAGGGGAGTGTTAGATGGACTAGCCAATTTTGCTTGACTGGCAAATTAAAGCCGAACTCTAGCCATCACGTTATAAGTGGTTACACCAAGTGGTTTTTTTTTTTTCCTTTTCGGGAAAAAATTGTATATAAAATGAATAAAAGCTGATTGCTGTAAGCCCCCCCCATCAGTTTTAAAGCGTAACTAAAACCAAAAATTTAATATATTACAGTTTTGTATTTAAACCTCCAGCAGAGGCAGTGAGCCAGTTAACAGTAAATAGCTTCAATCATTCTTGGGACAATCATAGATCCCGGATCTGCGGATTAGGGAGCATAATGGATCGGAGCCCAATCCATTATCCTCCCCAATCCGCAGATCCGATCCATCCTTCGGGGATCGTCGGAGGGGGTGTCACCAAGTGTTACCGCACCGGGTGACACCAACCCTAGGGACGCCCCTGGATCTATGCATTATCTATCCATTATCCTCCCCAATCCGCAGATCCGATCCATCCTGCGGGGATCGTCGGCTTGCAACCTATAAGGGGTTAACTGATCTCTCCACGAAAAGGTAAGTTTTAAAGCAAGCTGACGATCCCCGCAGGATGGATCGGATCTTAAAAGAGAAAGAGAAAAGAGAGGAGAAAGGATTGCTTTTACAGCCTTTATGGGAGTAAAAGCAATCAGTGTAAAATAACAAAAAAATCTTCTTCAACCCCGACAAGTAGTACAGTGTCACCATGGTGACACTGTACTGCTAGGGTGACAGTATGTTAAAAAAAAAAAAAAAAAACATAAATAATAATATAAAAAAATAACAAAAAAATGTAAAAAAAAATGTTTAAAAATTATAATTGTTGGTTATAAACTAATTTGGGTTTTTTTTTTTTTTACTAAAAAGATATCGGAATACATTTTGGCCAAGATTTATGATGAAATATTATTTATTTGCAAAATTTTATAAGAAAAACACTTTTTTTGGACTTTTTCATTTACATAGCAAAAAAATAAAAATCCCAGCGGTGAATAAATACCACCAAAATAAAGCTTTATCTGTCTCAAAAAAAATGCTAAAAAATTCATATGGGTGCAGTGTTGCATGACCGCGCAATTGTCATTCAAAAGTGTGATAGCGCTGAAAGCTGAAAATTAGCCTGGACTGGAAGGGAGGGAAAGTGTCCGGACTGGAAGGGGAGGAAAGTGTCCGGACTGGAAGGGGAGGAAAGTGTCCGGACTGGAAGGGGGGGAAAGTGTCCGAACTGGAAGGGGGGGAAAGTGTCCGGACTGGAAGGGGGGTGAAAGTGTCCGGACTGGAAGGGGGGGAAAGTGTCCGGACTGGAAGGGGGTGAAAGTGTCCGGACTGGAAGGGGGTGAAAGTGCCTGGACTGGAAGGGGGGGAAAGTGTCCGGACTGGAAGGGGGGGAAAGTGTCCGGACTGGAAGGGGGTGAAAGTGTCCGGACTGGAAGGGGGTGAAAGTGTCCGGACTGGAAGGGGGGGAAAGTGTCCGGACTGGAAGTGGTTAAAGGAAGTTGAAAAGTATTATTATTATACAGGACTCACTCTAGGTTCACATCCATGCGGGTGGTGCCGCTGCGGATCTGCACGAAAATCCGTGCAGCCGCACCACCCGCACAGAGAATTGCAAACCTGCTGGTGAGTGATATTAGTTCTAATGGCACGCCGTCTGCACTGGAAATCGCAACCGTACTGGGAACCTCGGCTGTGTTTTCCAAAGAACTGCCGGGACTTCTTCCCTGCATGTCCCGGGGCATGGGAGTCCATTCAAATGAATGGGCTCTCGTACAGGTGCAAAACACGGCCCGCACGGCCCGCACGGCCGCATAGATGTGAACCGGGGGTTATATAGCGCCAACAGTTTACTCAGCGCTTTACAATATAAATGGAGACAATACAGCAACAATACAGTTCAATACAAGAGGGATAGGAGGGCCCTATACTCATAAGAGCTTACAATCTCATAGGAAAGTAACTAACATACTGGGCGGGTCACCAGGAGAAAATAAAGGGAAAGGAATGCAGACGCCACATCTAAGAATTGGTGAGCTGCAACATAATCAAATGTAGTTTTGGGGTTTAAAGTGTTACTAAACCCCCAACAGTACAATAAGTCTGTATATGCAGTAAAGCATGCTTGTTATACTCACTGTGGGACCCAAGGGGTTAATCCTCTGCATTGTGTAAAAAGGCTGTTTGATCCTGTCTTCTCTGATCCTCCCCTTCTTTCAGTGCCCCTCTTATCTCCTGATAAGACATATCGTGTGGAATCCTCTGCACATGCTCAGTTTGATGTGCATTGCTAGAGAGGTTTTTTTTTTCTTGGGAGAGTGCATGTGATCAACACAGGGCCAATCAGCGCTGTCAATACAGAGGTCAGGGGTTCTGCATCCTCCTAGAGCCAAAAGAAAACTGCTCCTTTTCTGCTAATGAGAAAAAGGTATTTAGCAATGTATGCTTACTAAAATACTAGGTGCATGTGATCAGCACAGGGCAAATCAGCACTTTCCAGACACAGGGTCAGGGGTTATGCAGCCTCATAGGACAATCAGAGCTGAATGAAAACTCCTCCTACAAGCTTTAACCAGTGCTCGGCTGGACACTGATAAAAGTCACAAGACTGCTGTATACTGCTGATGAGAAAAGGGATTTAGCAGTTTATATTTACTAAAATAAAAAATTGCATTTTCGTGTTCTGTGTACTGTGGGAGACCAGATATAGAGCAGATATTGTGAATGCAGGGTCCGGGGAGAGCGGATATAGTGAATGCAGGGTCCGGGGAGAGCGGATATAGTGAATGCAGGGTCCGGGGAGAGCGGATATAGTGAATGCAGGGTCCGGGGAGAGCGGATATAGTGAATGCAGGGTCCGGGGAGAGCGGATATAGTGAATGCAGGGTCCGGGGAGACCGGATATAGTAAATGCAGGGTCCGGGGAGACCAGATATAGTGAATGCAGGGTCCAGGAGACCAGATATAGTGAATGCAGGGTCCGGGGAGACCAGATATAGTGAATGCAGGGTCCAGGAGACCAGAGCGGATATAGTGAATGCAGGGTCCGGGGAGAGCGGATATAGTGAATGCAGGGTCCGGGGAGAGCGGATATAGTGAATGCAGGGTCCGGGGAGAGCGGATATAGTGAATGCGGGGTCCGGGGAGAGCGGATATAGTGAATGCGGGGTCCGGGGAGACCAGATATAGTGAATGCGGGGTCCGGGAGACGAGACCAGATATAGTGAATGCGGGGTCCGGGGAGACCAGATATAGTGAATGCGGGGTACGGGGAGACCAGATATAGTGAATGCGGGGTCCGGGGAGAGCGGATATAGTGAATGCAGGGTCCGGGGACAGCGGATATAGTGAATGCAGGGTCCGGGGAGAGCGGATATAGTGAATGCAGGGTCCGGGGAGGCGAATATAGTGAATGCGGGGTCCGGGGAGACCAGATATAGTGAATGTGGGGTCCGGGGAGACCAGATATAGTGAATGCAGGGTCCGGGAGAGATAGTGAATGCAGGGTCCGGGGATATATAGTGAATGCGGGGTCAGGAGAGCAGATATAGTGAATGCGGGGTCCAGGGAGAGCGGATATAGTGAATGCGGGGTCCGGGGAGAGCAGATATAGTGAATGCAGGGTCCGGGGAGACCAGATATAGTGAATGCGGGGTGCAGGGAGAGCGGATATAGTGAATGCAGGGTCTGGGGAGAGCGGATATAGTGAATGCAGGGTCCGGGAGACCAGATATAGTGAATGCGGGGGTCTGGGGGAGCAGATATAATGAATGCAGCAGGGTCCGGGGAGATAATGAATGCAGGGTCTGGGAGAGCGGATATAGTGAATGCAGGGTCTGGGGAGAGCGGATATAGTGAATGCAGGGTCCGGGAGAGCGGATATAGTGAATGCAGGGTCCGGGGAGAGCGGATATAGTGAATGCAGGGTCCGGGGAGAGCGGATATAGTGAATGCAGGGTCCGGGAGAGCGGATATAGTGAATGCAGCGGATATAGTGAATGCAGGGTCCTGGAGAGCGGATATAGTGAATGCAGGGTCCGGTCGGATATAGTGAATGCAGGGTCTGGGAGAGCAGATATAGTGAATGCGGGGTCCGGGGAGATGGGATATAGTGAATGCAGGGTCCGGGAGAGCGGATATAGTGAATGCAGGGTCCGGGAGAGCGGATATAGTGAATGCAGGGTCTGGGGAGAGCGGATATAGTGAATGCAGGGTCTGAGGAGAGCAGATATAGTGAATGCAGGGTCCGGGGAGACCGGATATAGTGAATGCAGGGCCCGGGGAGACCGGATATAGTGAATGCAGGGTCCGGGGAGAGCGGATATAGTGAATGCAGGGTCCGGGGAGAGCGGATATAGTGAATGTCAGGGTCCGGGGAGAGCGGATATAGTGAATGCAGGGTCCGGGGAGAGCAGATATAGTGAATGCGGGGTCCGGGGAGAGCAGATATAGTGAATGCGGGGTCCGGGGAGAGCAGATATAGTGAATGCGGGGTCCGGGGAGAGCGGATATAGTGAATGCGGGGTCCGGGGAGAGCAGATATAGTGAATGCAGGGTCCGGGGAGACCGGATATAGTGAATGCAGGGTCCGGGGAGACCAGATATAGTGAATGCAGGGTCCGGGAGAGCAGATATAGTGAATGCAGGGTCCGAGAAGAGCGGATATAGTGAATGCGGGGTCCGGGGTTTAGTAACACATACCACGTTAAACAAACATCTCTATTACACGTCTGTAGGCCTACATACAAGATTCCTGAATCCAGACTTGTCCTCTCATAACCTAATTTTGCTTTGGAAAAAAAAAAAAAAGAAGTGAATATCTCAGATGAAAGAAGCCAGAAATAGATCTTTATCTGGTGAGCGCGGGAATATCTTGTCTCACAGTGCTGCCGTGTGATTACTTCTTTGCATTTCCCCGCTGGTTCCTCTTCCATTAAATTACAAATGCTGCTGCTATTTAATGTAGTGAAAAGTTTGAACTCCGGGCCATTTCAGCGCCGTTGATTGTGTTAATATATCGACCTTCTCAAGCTCTTCCTTGAATGTCTAGATTTTCCCAGCACCACTTTTCCTTGTAGAGAAAGAAAGACACAAAGCCCTGACAAAGGGAGAGATCTGTGCATTGAATGTACAGCAGTGTTCACATCCACCCACATTCCTCTCCGGCATCTTTCACCGCGTTCCTATAAAAGCGCAAATTACAGTCCGCCATTGAGGGAGCCGGCCATCTGGCCATGCCCTGGGTGAAGAATGGTGGATGCTGAGGGTGTTAGCTAAGAACGCCTTCGTGTTTTCTGCCTATGATATATCTGCTGTGCATTCTTAGCTCCCTCTATTGAATTTAAAGCAGATCTGTACTTTTTAAAGAAGTTTTAGCTTCTGTAACATAATCCTTACTTTTAATGAAAACAAGAGAAGGAAACGAATGATGGTCTTGTTCTAGAAATTGTTGCCGTTCTTTACCTCATCACACAGTCCAGGGGTCGCCAAACTTTCTATACAAAGGGTCAGTTTACTCTCATTCAGATTTAAGGGGGGGGGCAGGAGTTGGACTGTGGTCAATGGGAGTAAAAAATGACCCAGGGTAAGTAGCAGTAGACTATTCCTCAGGCTTGGTGGTCAGTAGGAGCAGGAATAGTGCCCCATCATTGGTGTCAGTGGGAGGAATAGTGTCCCAACATTGCTATAAGTGGGAGGAATAGTGCCCCATCATTGGTGTCAGTGGGAGGAATAGTGCCCCATCATTGGTATTAGTGGGAGGAATAGAGCCCCATCATTGGTATTAGTGGGAGGAATAGTGCCCCATCATTGGTGTCAGTGGGAGGAATAGTGCCCCATCATTGGTGTCAGTGGGAGGAATAGTGTCCCAACATTGCTATAAGTGGGAGGAATAGTGCCCCATCATTGGTGTCAGTGGGAGGAATAGTGCCCCATCATTGGTATTAGTGGGAGGAATAGAGCCCCATCATTGGTATTAGTGGGAGGAATAGTGCCCCATCATTGGTGTCAGTGGGAGGAATAGTGCCCCATCATTGGTATTAGTGGGGAAATAGTGCCCCATCATGGGTATTAGTGAGAGGAATAGTGCCCCATCATTGGTATTAGTGGGAGGAATAGTGCCCCATCATTGGTATCAGTGGGAGGAATAGTGCCCCATCATTGGTATCAGTGGGAGGAATAGTGCCCCATCATTGGTATCAGTGGGAGGAATAGTGCCCCATCATTGGTATCAGTGGGAGGAATAGTGCCCCATCATTGGTATCAGTGGGAGGAATAGTGCCCCATCATTGGTATCAGTGGGAGGAATAGTTCCCTATCATTGGTATCAGTGGGAAGAATAGTGTACCATCATTGGTGTCAGTGGAAGGAATTGTGCCCCATCAATGGCATTAGTTGGAGGAATAGTGCCTCATCATTGGTGTCACTGGGAGGAATAGTTCCCCATCATTGGTATCAGTGGGAGGAATAGTTCCCCATCATTGGTATCATTAGGAGGAATAGTGCCCCATCATTGGTATCATTAGGAGGAATAGCGCCCCATCATTGGTATCAGTGGGAGGAATAGTGCCCCATCATTGGTGTCAGTGGGAGGAATAGTGCTCCATCATTGGTATCAGTGGGAGGAATAGTGCCCCATCATTGGTATCAGTGGGAAGAATAGTGCCCCATCATTGGTATCAGTGGGAGGAATAGTGCCCCATCATTGGTGTCAGTGGGAGGAATAGTGCCCCATCATTGGTATCAGTGGGAGGAATAGTGCCCCATCATTGGTATCAGTGGGAGGAATAGTGCCCCATCATTGGTATCAGTGGGAGGAATAGTGTCTCATCATTGGTATTAGTGGGAGGAATAGTGTCTCATCATTGGTATTAGTGGGAGGAATAGTGTCTCATCATTGGTATCAGTGGGAGGAATAGTGCCCCATCATTGGTGTCAGTGGGGGGAATAGTGTCCCATCATTGATAATAATGGAAGAAATAGTACCCCATCATCAATAGGTACCATTGTTGGTATCAGAGGGAGCAGTAGTGCTCCATTGTTGATATTAGTTAGAAGAATAGTGCCCTATATTTTCTGTCAGTGGGAGGAATAGTGTTCCAACATTTATGTCTGTGGGAGGAAATATGCCCCATCAGTGGTTTCAGTGGAAAGAAATAGAGCCCCACTGTTGGTGTCAGTGGAAGGAATGAAGGAGTGGATGCCGGTGTCAGTAGGAGAAATAATGCCTGAAGGACTCGCTAAAGGTAATCAAAGGGCCCTATCTAGCCCTTGGGCCACAGTTTGCAGAACACAGACATAGACTAACACCAAAGCATCGATTAGTTCCAACTGAACATCAGCCCCCCAAACCCCTCCCTCCCTTCAGGAGAGATCTTGTATAGGTGATCTTTGAAGAGAATTTGTACTGCAGCAGCAAAGATAACATTGTTTAAATCTGAATTCCAGGTGTGGTTTTGTATTGCATAGTTACACTGGACGAGCTTTGACCAATGTAAGCATATTATATACCTTTGGGATCCTTGTGGAAGTTGAAGATCCCTGTAGTGGCCATCGTTATTACAGTGATTGCTGCAGTTCTTGGGTTCAAGTTATGAGCTGCCCTGGCACATAGTAACCACAGGGAGTGGCTCATTCAGCTCATTCATTCTCAATGAATGCCCCGCCTCTCCACCTGGACAAGGTGGAGAGGCAGGACAATTATATTGTTATCTCCACCTCTTCCAATCAGAGAATGTTTTGCATTTATTGAGAAAAATGTATGGTGCTCTCTGCATTCTGTCCATGCTGAGTGACTGGCCTTTTAAGAAGAATTCTGTCACAGTCAGGGGTCAGGCTCAAAGACCAGTGGCTATAGCAGTAGTAGAACTTCCACCGACCAGCAGGATAGGTATACAAGCAGGTTACCCTAGTGGATCACGTGAGAGGTGCACAATCTAAGTAGTAATCGGTGTTCACCAGAGCTGCTAATGGTAGAGATGGGTTTGGCTGCCTGTTAGTAGCAGGTTGTGGTCCTCTGGATCACCCTACCAGAAGGTCCAGTAGCAGATATAGCAGGTAGGGATCAAACAGAAGCGTAGTCAGTAAACAAGCCAAAGGTTGGTAACAAGTGGTTGCAGGTTGGGATCAGGCAGAAGTATAGTTGAAGAACAAGTCAAAGGTTGGTAACAAGTGGTTGCAGATTGGGATCAGGCAGAAGCGTAGTTGAAGAACAAGCCAAAGGTTGGTAACAAGTGGTTGCAGGTTGGGATCAGGCAGAAGCGTAGTTGAAGAACAAGCCAAAGGTTGGTAACAAGTGGTTGCAGGTTGGGATCAGGCAGAAGCGTAGTTGAAGAACAAGCCAAAGGTTGGTAAAGAGTGGTTGCAGGTTGGGATCAGGCAGAAGCGTAGTTGAGGAACAAGCCAAAGGTTGGTAACGAGTGGTTGCAGGTTGGGATCAGGCAGAAGCGTAGTTGCGGAACAAGCCAAAGGTTGGTAAAGAGTGGTTGCAGGTTGGGATCAGGCAGAAGCGTAGTTGCGGAACAAGCCAAAGGTTGGTAAAGAGTGGTTGCAGGTTGGGATCAGGCAGAAGCGTAGTTGAGGAACAAGCCAAAGGTTGGTAACGAGTGGTTGCAGGTTGGGATCAGGCAGAAGCGTAGTTGAGGAACAAGCCAAAGGTTGGTAACAAGTGGTTGCAGGTTGGGATCAGGCAGAAGCATAGTTGAGGAACAAGCCAAAGGTTGGTAACGAGTGGTTGCAGGTTGGGATGAGGCAGAAGCGTAGTTGAGGAACAAGCCAAAGGTTGGTAACGAGTGGTAGCAAAGTAATGATGGCAGCAGGAAAGACAAGAGCAAGATATTGGCTGGAGGGAGCACAATAATCTGGCAAACAGGAAGTGCAAAGGCATGGCTTAAATATGAAGTCCATGGGAAATGCAAAGTGTTCAAGGTCACGACAAACAAGGTTCAAGGTATGATCATTCAAGGAATTTTCCAGGGAGCTGTCCAGCATTCCAAGTGGCTCAGTAAGATGAGTTACTGCCAGACACAGCAGAAGTCTCAGCTCCAGACCCAGGTCCTGGCAGACTCACTTACATTGAAGGTCAGTGTAAAGAATGTCGCTTGTACTGGTGATCAGTGGGAGTAATGTTGCTTATTTTGGTTGTCAGTGAAAAGAATGTCCCTTACATTGGTGGTCAGTGGGAAGAATGCACCTTACATTGGAGGTCAGTGGGAAGACTGCTCCTTACATTGATGGTCAGTGGGAAGAATGCTCCTTATATTGGGGATCAGTGGGAAGAATGCTCCTTACATTGGTGGTTAGTAGGAAGAATGCCACTTACATTGGTGGTCAGTGGGAAGAATGCTCCTTTTATTGGTGGTCATGGGAAAGAATTCCCCTTATATTGGTGATCAGTGGGAAGGACGCTCCTTATATTGGTGGTCATTGAGAAGAATTCCCCTTACATTGGTGGTCAGTGGGAAGAATGCTCCTTACAATTGTGGTCAGTGGGAAGAATGCCCCTTACATTGGAGGTCAGTGGGAAGAATGCTCCTTACATTGGTCGTCATGGGGAAGAATGCCACTTACATTGGTAGTCAGTGAGAAGAATGCTCCTTTTATTGGTGGTCATGGGAAAGAATTCCCCTTATATTGGTGATCAGTGGGAAGGACGCTCCTTATATTGGTGGTCATTGAGAAGAATTCCCCTTACATTGGTGATCAGTGGGAAGAATGCTCCTTACAATTGTGGTCAGTGGGAAGAATGCCCCTTACATTGGAGGTCAGTGGGAAGAATGCTCCTTACATTGGTGATCAGTGAGAAGAATGCTCTCCTTACATTGGTGGTCAGTGGGAAGAATGCTCCTTACATTGGTGGTCAGTGGGAAGAATGCTCCTTACATTGGAGGTCAGTGGGAAGAATGTCCCTTACATTGGTGGCCAGCAGGAAGAATGCCCATTACATCGGTGGTCAGTGGGAAGAATGTCCCTTACATTGGTGATCAGTGGGAAAAATGCTCCTTACATTGATGGTCAGTGAGAAGAATGCTCCTTACATTGGTGGTAAGTGGGAAGAATGCTCCTTACATTGGTGGTTAGTAGGAAGAATGCCACTTACATTGGTGGTCAGTGGGAAGAATGCTCCTTACATTGGTCGTCATGGGGAAGAATGCCACTTACATTGGTAGTCAGTGAGAAGAATGCTCCTTTTATTGGTGGTCATGGGGAAGAATTCCCCTTATATTGGTGATCAGTGGGAAGAATGCTCCTTATATTGGTGGTCATTGAGAAGAATTCCCCTTACATTGGTGGTCAGTGGGAAGAATGCTCCTTACAATTGTGGTCAGTGGGAAGAATGCCCCTTACATTGGAGGTCAGTGGGAAGAATGCTCCTTACATTGGTGGTCATTGAGAAGAATTCCCCTTACATTGGTGGTCAGTGGGAAGAATGCTCCTTACAATTGTGGTCAGTGGGAAGAATGCCCCTTACATTGGAGGTCAGTGGGAAGAATGCTCCTTACATTGGTGATCAGTGAGAAGAATGCTCCTTACATTGGTGGTCAGTGGGAAGAATGCTCCTTACATTGGTGGTCAGTGGGAAGAATGCTCCTTATATTGGTGGTCATTGAGAAGAATTCCCCTTACATTGGTGGTCAGTGGGAAGAATGCTCCTTACAATTGTGGTCAGTGGGAAGAATGCCCCTTACATTGGAGGTCAGTGGGAAGAATGCTCCTTACATTGGTGATCAGTGAGAAGAATGCTCCTTACATTGGTGGTCAGTGGGAAGAATGCTCCTTACATTGGTGGTCAGTGGGAAGAATGCTCCTTACATTGGAGGTCAGTGGGAGGAATGTCCCTTACATTGGTGGCCAGCAGGAAGAATGCCCATTACATCGGTGGTCAGTGGGAAGAATGTCCCTTACATTGGTGATCAGTGGGAAAAATGCTCCTTACATTGATGGTCAGTGAGAAGAATGCTCCTTACATTGGTGGTAAGTGGGAAGAATGCTCCTTACATTGATGGTCAGTGGGAAGAATGCTCCTTATATTGGGGATCAGTGGGAAGAATGCTCCTTACATTGGTGGTTAGTAGGAAGAATGCCACTTACATTGGTGGTCAGTGGGAAGAATGCTCCTTACATTGGTCGTCATGGGGAAGAATGCCACTTACATTGGTAGTCAGTGAGAAGAATGCTCCTTTTATTGGTGGTCATGGGGAAGAATTCCCCTTATATTGGTGATCAGTGGGAAGGACGCTCCTTATATTGGTGGTCATTGAGAAGAATTCCCCTTACATTGGTGGTCAGTGGGAAGAATGCTCCTTACAATTGTGGTCAGTGGGAAGAATGCCCCTTACATTGGAGGTCAGTGGGAAGAATGCTCCTTACATTGGTGATCAGTGAGAAGAATGCTCCTTACATTGGTGGTCAGTGGGAAGAATGCTCCTTACATTGGTGGTCAGTGGGAAGAATGCTCCTTACATTGGAGGTCAGTGGGAAGAATGTCCCTTACATTGGTGGCCAGCGGGAAGAATGCCCATTACATCGGTGGTCAGTGGGAAGAATGTCCCTTACATTGGTGATCAGTGGGAAAAATGCTCCTTACATTGATGGTCAGTGAGAAGAATGCTCCTTACATTGGTGGTCAGTGGGAAGAATGCTCCTTACATTGGTGGTCAGTGGGAAGAATGTCCCTTACATTGGTGGTCAGTGGGAAGAATGCTCCTTACATTGGTGATCAGTGGGAAGAATGCTCCTTACATTGGTGATCAGGGGGAAGAATGTCCCTTACATTGGTGGTCAGTGGGAAGAATGCCCCTTACATTGGTGATCAGGGGGAAGAATGTCCCTTACATTGGTGGTCAGTGGGAAGAATGTCCCTTACATTGGAGGTCAGTGGGAAGAATGCTCCTTACATTGGTGGTCAGTGGAAAGAATGCCCCTCTAATAGCCAACTATAAGGATGATTGGTGTCACTGGTCAGTGTCCCGAGACACAAATGTCTGTACTGGTCCCATGTCACTGGCTGTGCTGAGAGATATCAGTGCCAAAACTTTACAGGCACCATCAGGTGGGATATCAATATGCTACTGCTCACTACTTAAGGAACCATTGTCAACCCTTAAGGATATCCTAGTTGCGAAAGGCCGACTTTAATTGTTACATTATAATCCTGGATATATTAATATACAATATATACATACATACAAAATACTCCTAATTTTCTTGAATTATCCTGCAGGAGACTTCATTGTATCTACTGAGGGCAACACCTATCTGATTAATGCATAACTGAAGCACTTTGTTGAGGAATATAATCATGATGATAGTAATAATATCAACTACAACTTCATTATGCACTAAAACCCGGAAGTTATCAGATGCAGAATTATGAAGGGAACCGTAAGATTCATAAGCTATAGGATGGCCTGGAGCCCAAATACTATTAAAATTCTTTGCTTGGCTGACGGCAAGCCAAGGGAGAGACCTACATGTGATTCCAAGAGCACTGGACTGATGTATTTGTGATCAAGAATTCTGAAATGGAATGAGCTTTTTGCTTGATGGTGAGCTGTGCTTAGTGTTTATGTCATTCTGATACTTTGTTGGTTCAGGGCAAAGTAAAAGACCCTCTTACTAACCCATCCCTCTACCCCCTTCTAGTTACCTTTCCCCTACTCCCCTGCTGTACCAGTCATCGGGAACTCAAACTAGACGTGTGTTTCGCTTCGTTCCGAATTGAAATTCAGACAAAATTTGGAGCTTTGGAGAAAGGCCTGGGGGCAGTGGGTGGATCTAAGGAGATGCTGGCTTGTACTCTTGAGGGGTCCTAGCCAATCCCCAAGAGGATGCTTGGCAAGGGGCCAGGACAGCATTTAAAGTGTTATTAAACCCACAACAGTACAATCAGTCTGTATATACAGTAAAGCATGCTTGTTATACTCACTGTGGAACCTAAAGGGTTAATCCTCTGCATTGTGTAAAAAAGCTGTTTGATCCTGTCTTCCCTGATCCTCCCCTTCTTCCACTGTCCCCAATCCATCTGCTGATAGTACAGAGCTCTAGGAGTCACTCTGCATATGCTCAGTTTAGTGTGTATGGCTAAAGAGTTTTTTTTTCTTTGGAAGAGTGCATATGATCAGCACAGGGCCAATCAGCACTGTCCAGACAGAGGGTCAGGGGTTATGCAGCCTCATTGGACAGTCAGAGCAGAATGAAAACTCCTCCTACAAGCTTTAACCAGTGCTCAGCTAGACACTGATAGAGGTCACAACACTGTAATTGCTTTTCCATGCTCTGTGTACTGTGGGAGACCAGATATAGTTAATATAGGGTCCGGGAGAGCGGATATAGTGAATGTGGGGTCCGGGGAGAGCGGATATAGTGAATGCAGGGTCCGGGGAGAGCAGATATAGTGAATGCAGGGTCCGGGGAGAGCAGATATAGTGAATGCAGGGTCCGGGGAGAGCAGATATAGTGAATGCGGGGTCCGGGGAGAGCGGATATAGTGAATGCAGGGTCTGGGGAGAGGGGATATAGTGAAAGTGGGGTCCGGGGAGAGCGGATATAGTGAATGCAGTGTCTGGGGAGAGCAAATATAGTGAATGCGGGGCCCAGGGAGAGCGGATATAGTGAATGCGGGGTCTGGGCAGAGCGGATATAGTGAATGTGGGGTCCGGGGAGAGAGGATATAGTGAATGCGGGGTCCGGGGAGACCAGATGTAGTGAATGCAGGGTCCGGGGAGACCAGATGTAGTGAATGCAGGGTCCGGAGAGACCGGATATAGGGAATGCAGGGTCTGGGGAGACCAGATATAGGGAATGCAGGGTCCAGGGAGACCAGATATAGTGAATGCAGGGTCTGGGGAGACCAGATATAGTGAATGCAGGGTCCGGGGAGACCAGATATAGTGAATGCAGGGTCCGGGGTTTAGTAACACTTTAAGAGTAACTGAGCCCTTTCAGCAGCAGGAGAGTTGGAGGAGAGTTCGGGTGGAAGATGGACAGGAATTGAGGCTAGAGAGCAGGAGCCTGGGAGGGGGCCCAGGTGGGAGAGGGGCTCACCTCCAGGATGGAATCCTGGAAGGAGGAAAGCTTGGGACTTCACTGGCCCCCTGAGAGAGGATCAGCTGTGTGGCAGGGAAGGAGCGGCCCAGCTAGAAGGCCTGGCAGCAGCCACCGACCCACCAGCAACACAGGAGAAGGACTTAGTGAGTACACCTGCACCCCCTGGGTGGATATGGGAAGGAGCACTCTGGTGGGAAACCATATTTGCTACCTACTTGGGACTGTCCACTTCTTAAAGTAACAGGCACCAGATCCCCTGTTCAGGGATACCTCCAGATTTCTGGGTGAAGGAAGAGAAGTTCATCTAGGCTCTAGGGTGGTACATTAAGGAGATGTTGGCTAGCTCCCCAACAGAGACTGAGCTGCAGAGAAGGCTGTAAATAGTTCCAGGAGGTTGTCCTCAGTTCATCAGTACTCTTGGGCATCCTGTACACCCCTAAACCTATCCCAGTTCAAATCCCCTAAATAAAATCACAAAACCAAAGCTCGAGGACTGATTTCTGACTCCGGATGCAAGCCTATGTGGAAGTTTGGGTTGCCTGGCTGTGCAGGACTATAGGGGGACCCAAATCTCCAGCAACTCCTGAGGGGGTAGTGCGACAGTAAGCTGGCAATGTTTTACAGTTTTGGGCTTCACACTGTATTAAGGCCTGGCTTTTGGCCACATAGGCTCAAGGCTGCATCCTAGAAGGGGGTCAGATGTTCTCCCATCCATGCTGGATATTTGTGATGGAACAATGGGGACAATGGGGAAAATGTGGTGAACAAGCCCTAAAACATAGAAAAGAAAATTTGGGGCTAGAGATAACATTTAGGTATAGAAAGAGAACATATTGTTTAGAAATTAACAAAAATTGTCACCAACCTAGAAGGGAGTTTTCACAAGGCGGACCAGACTTTGGAATTCCTTGCCGGAGAATTCCTAATTAGGCGCCTTTCTGAGTCTTATTGGCATCTCCAACTATCTTTAGGAAGATTCATCTCCGATGTGATAAATCCAAGAAATCCTTCTACTGCTTTATCAAATAAGGATTTTTTTTCTCACTGTGAGGATTAATTGGCAGCTGCCGATAGGGCCAGGACAAGGGGTGGGCAAGAGGGGCATTTGCCCTTGGCTGGATCATTTGAAGCGGGGGCTCCACAAAGAGATTGGGGGGAGGGGATTTGTGTTGAGAGAAGGAGTTTGGGGGTCAGCAGGGTGTAAGAATTGCTCTAGGAGCGTAAATTTGGGGAGATACACTAGGAGTGATTTGGGGGGATCTCTGTTCGGAGGGGGGATGAGGGAAGATAATTTGTGTTAGGACAGGAGATTTAGGGGGTTTGTGCTAGAACAGTGGTCTCCAAACTGCGACCCAGGGGCCTTACTTTTATCTGGCCCTTAGAGTCCTATTGCTCCCACTGACACCAATGACTGGGCACTATTCTTCCCACTGACACCGACAATGGGGGCACTATTCCTCTCACTGACACCTACAATTAGACAATAGTTTCTGCACTGACACCAGCACTGAGGCACTATTCCTCCCTCTGACACCAACGATTGGGCACTATTCCTCCCACTGACACCAACAATGGGGCACTATTCCTTCCACTAAAACCAATGATGGGGCACTATTCCTCCCACTGACACCAACAATAGGGACTATTTCTCCCATTGACACCAATGATGGGGCACTATTCCTCCCACTGACACCAACAATGGGGCAATAATTTCTGCACTGACACCAGCAATAGTGCACTAATCCCCCCACTGACACCAACGATGGGGCACTATTCCTTCCACTGACACCAATGATGGGGCACTATTCCTTCCACTGACACCAACAATAGGGACTATTTCTCCCATTGACAACAACGATGTGGCACTATTCCTCCCACTGACACCAACAATGGGGCAATAATTTCTGCACTGACACCAGCAATGGTGCACTAATCCCCCCACTGATACAATGATTGGACACTATTCTTCACACTAAAACCAAAGATGGAGTACTATTCTTTCCACTGATACCAATGATTGGGCACTATTCCTCCTACTGACACCAATTGATGGGGAAGTATTCATATCATTGACACAATGATGGGGCACTATTCCTCCCACTGACACCAATGATGGGGCACTATTCCTCCCACTGACACCAATGATGGGGCACTATTCCTCCCACTGACACCAATGATGGGACACTATTCCTCCCACTGACACCAATGATGGGGCACTATTCCTCCCACTGACACCAATGATGGGGCACTCTTCCTCCCACTGATAGCAATGATGGGGCATTATTCCTCCCACTGACACCAATGATGGGGCACTCTTCCTCCCACTGATACCAACGATGGGGCACTATTCCCTCCACGGATACCAATGATGGGGCACTATTCCTCCCACTGATACCAATGATGGGGCACTATTCCTCCCCCACTGACACCACTGATGGGGTACTAATCATCCCACTGATTTAGAGTGGGGGGAAGAGGATTTGTGTTAGGAAGGGAAATTTAAGGGGCAGATGATTAATGCTAGGAAGGGTTTTTTTTTTTTGGGGGGGGGGGGGGGGGGGGGGGGGGGGGGGGGGGGACTAGTGACAGGGCATATGGGGAGAGAGGATGTCAACATATGGGAAACAAGAGAATTTGGGCTGGGCAGATGGAGATGGCAAAGGTTTATGCTGGGAGGGGGGATTTCAACGGGGGGCGGATTTGTACTGGGGGGGAATTTATACATAGGGGGTAAGCATGTTGGTTAGTGCTCTTTTTTTTTGGGGTGGTGTAGATTTTTGCTTACACATATTGCTCATACATCTGGGGGGGGGGTGCAATTTGGCATGTTCGCCTGGGCTCTAGATGACCTTGTCCCAGCACTGGCTGCTAAACTGGGATTTTGCATTTGCAAAATGTTGCAGCTTAACCGGTTCCTGACCGCTCTATAGCAGAATTACAGCTACAGGTCGGATGGGCCGCTCATAATCACCTATATATGCGTAATTTTGCATTCCTGTAGTCATTGGTGGCTACAGATGTTAATCACCGGGTCCCGACCGGAGATTCCCCGCAGGTACACGGCGATCACGGAGAAACAGTGACAGGGAGAGGTCTGTAAGCAAACAATACTGATCTCTCCCCTGTCAGCACTGACTTGCTGCTTTGTATTGCTGTGCGTCGCAGAGAGCAATACAAAGGAGCATGTATCCCTAGTAAAACACACACAGCACATAGTTAACCCTTTGATTGCCCCAGATGTTAACCCCTTCCTGCCCAGTGCCATTAGTACAGTGTCAGTGCTTTTTATTACCACTGATCACTGTATTAGAGTCACTGGGGATGTCAGTGGCAGTTAGTTAGTTCCCACCCCCAGTGCCAGAATGCTCACCGCAGTCCAGCTATAAATTGCTGATCACCGCCATTGCTAGTATAAATTTTTTTTTTTTATAAATCCCAGTATCTATACCACCATTTGTAAGCGCTTTAACTTTCACGTAAACCAATTAATTTACACGTATTGGGATTTTTTTTTTTTTTTTTAGCAAAGACATGGAGCAGAATACATTTTGGCTTAAATTTATAACGAAATTTGATTTTTTAAAATTTTTTTAACTGAAAGTTTTATAGCAAAAGTCAAAAATATTTTTTCTTCAAAAGTGTCTTTTTGTTTATAGCACAAAAAATAAAAACTGCACAGATGATCAAATACCACCAGTGAAGATCTGGTCATTACACTGACCTCCGATCCGAATACAGTGAATCTCCAAAGACATGCTGGTAGGTGAATTGGCCCCTGTCCAGGGGCGGACTGACCATTTGGAAACTCGGGCACTGCCCGAGGGCCCGGGGTCAGTAGGGGACCCCATGAGATGCCCCTGGTACCTTTTTCATAGGCTTTTTTGAGTTTGGGCAAGGACACATGGGCCCCATGATCCCCTATTTCCCGGGCCCCATGAGTTGTCAGTCCACCCCTGCTCCTGTCTAAATTGTCCCTAGTATGTATATGTATGAATGTGAGTTAGGGACCTTAGATTGTACGCCCCTTGAGGGTTAGGGACTGATGTGAATGTACAATATATATGTAAAGTGCTGCGTAAATTGACGGCGATATATAAGTACCTGAAATAAATAAATAATAAATATAAACTTGCACAGCTGGCTCTCTTCTGTTCTCAATGCGCTTCAGGCAGCCAGAATTCCTCGTCCGCCCCATAGACGTCTTCGGTGATTTAGCAGACAACTGGCTGCCAGCAAAGCCGTGTGCTGGGAGGAGAAGTGTGCCAGCTTCCGAATGTTAGACCTGAAAAATCTCCGGATCAAATGAGTGGAGGCAAGTGTAGTGCGTGTGAGTGCCATGATCTCACTCCCATCTACAGAACTGGAAAAGTTAGAGTCTTCATTAGCACTGTGGCTAAATGGTTAGCACTTCCACCCAGCAGTACTAGGGTTGTTGG